CCCGGGTGTCCCAGACACGCCGGGGTCTCTTGAGGCCAGCCCGTCTCTTGCTGAACTCACTGCTTCTCCATATCAGGGTGACCCTCAACTTGTCTACCCTGAAGAGGATGATTGTCAGTCTGGGCCCACGGCGACCAACTTCTTTTGCCGCGTGAGCCTGCCGCCTTCCCCCGATGCGCGGCAGCCTCACCCGACGGAAGCTCCGCCCCGTCAGGGCGGAAATGAGGTTACCGTTGGCCACGCCGACAAATCTAAGGGCAGGGGCCTTTCTCTTCCGGAGAATGACCGAAACCGAATTATACAGAACACGCCTGCTCAGTTGAAGCGGCGGATTCGAGAGGTTCATGCGACTGGCCCTGTACCTCCCAATGTCGAGCCCCTTCGTGGAAGAACGTTTGACACGCTCAAACACATAGCCGAGCTTGTCGAGGATCCCATATTTGCGTTGTTGGGAGAATTTTCTTTCGACATAACGAGTTTTGATCAGACGAGGGGCTATCTTCGCGCAGAATTCTATTCTGATGACGTCCCTGAGGGGTTCGAGTGTCGGGCCTACAAGGCCCTGGCCCCGTTGGCTGTAGGCGTTGCCGACGACAAAATTCCGGCGGCCCTAGGCTGTGCGGAGTTTTGGCGACGCCACAGTGGTCGGACAGATGAGTTTGCGATGCGCATTGGAAATTTTGCTGCGTACCTCGCGAGACCTTGTTCCGATTGCGCGAGGTCTTCGGGGGGTTGGGTCTATTTTTGAAGACCCAGTCGACAAGATGCGAGAAGATGGTACGAATGCCAAACGGTGGCACTTGCTGCACGCGGCCTAGCCGCGTTGCAGCCAGGGACCGTTGAAGTCTTGGGTATACCTTCTGGCAACCTTGCTTGCATCAGCAACGCAGGGCTCCATGACCAGTGGAGAGACTTTCGGGGCTGGCCTGTATTATCGGATGAGCGGCATCATTGTCCAGTCCCCGTTTTCTACAGAGCGTGCCAAGGGCGCTCCGCACTTGCTGCCTCCATAGAGAGAATGTATGCGCCTTATGACCCAGGCCTAGCCAGGTGCCATGGCCCTCTTCTCCGTATCACGGACATGGAAGCGTTGAAGGCATCGGTGCTCGGGGACATCCAGTTCCCCAAGAGCACGTCGGGCCTTTGCTTCGAGTCGGACTATGGATTGTTGCGACTTCTCCCGACCAAGCGGGACCCGGCCATGCAAAGCCCAGACCATTTTCCCTCCTGGCTAAGCCAGCGTAGGGATGGTGAGAGTGCTCCTGAGAAAAAGTGCCGCCAAATGGGCCAAGCCCCCGAGGTGGGACAACCTGCAAGGGTTGGGTCATGGCCCACAGTGGACACAGTCCGTCTGTGGGACCAACTCCCAACGCACAGAGCTTCCTGGCCGCTTGTTCTGGTTTTCAATGGCCGTGTTCTTACCCGATTTTCGTGCCGGGTTTACCGTGGCGGGACCCTTCTGTCCCATCAGGTACCAAAGTTCACCGACATAGATAAAGCTGTCACTCTTGCCACAGTACGGGATTGGTTACATGCGAACCAAATGTTGACTTCTTGGGCCCTTCTCTTCAGTCAAGAGTGGACCTCGTATGAGGTGGATTTCGACGAAACTTCCATGCTTGGATGGATTCAGACTGACGAGTCTGTGACGCTGTGGCCAGACTTCAGGGACTGGCCTGATAGGGCAGATGAGTTCATCCGGTCAGTCTCCTGGGATGACGATGGTCGGTTCCTCTGCGCTGAACTGCATTGGGTGCGTACAGGCTTCGGCCGTTGCCTCTTTTGCGAGAACGCAGTGCAGTACACATACATGGTTGCGCGCAATTATTTGCTCCAGTCACTCAGGTCGCAGACCATTGAGCGCTCATTGTGGCATAACGGCTTCAAGCTGACCGTTCATGATCACCACAATTTGCCACAGCAACAAGATCGCTACATTAGAGAGAGGCGAGAACGGCAGAACAAAGCGTCAGCGGATGTCATGACGAACATCAGCAACAATTTGAAGCTGGGGCGTAAATGGGCGAGCGGTGCATGCACCGCGATGGCTGCTGCAGGTCAAACCTTTGGCAACAGCCGCCCTGGCAGTGTTCCTGCCTAGGTCCCTGACAGCGCCGCGGCCCAGCCGCCGGCGCGCCACGGACCTTTCTTCCAGTACCTTGAACCCCTCAAGAGGAGGTTCATAAGGTGGCCGGAGTTTCTGGCGGAGAGAGCAGGGGTTAGCGAAATAACAATCGCAGAGTGGTGGCCCCTGATTTGGGCCACGGACATCGATCAGTATGCGCGCACCTTTTCCTGCCCTCCTCTAGCCGCTTTTGACTGGCCAGATGAGGATGAATCGCTTATTTTCCCCCGTGATGAAGCGCTATGCAAAGGGCACGAAATTTTGTGCCGACTCTCCAGACAGTGCAAGATGCAAAGAATGGAGTAGCGGCCTGGATGCCTAAAGCACAGGATATTGGCGCGGACGCCACAGGGCCCAGCCCTCGTGGTCGTCCGCCTGTTGCCTGGGCTGAGCAGTTCACTGCTCGCCCTGCCCGCCTATCCAAGTCAGTATCCAGGCGCAACGAGATTTGCTCCAAGCATCCTCTCAGTGTTGTGACGCCTGTCTCCGGCCAAGCCGAGACGACAGGGGGTGAGAGGCTTGTTCTGGTGCCCTTCGATTTTGCCGCCGTCTGCGGGTCCCAGACCCAGCAGATGCTCGAGGGGAAGATCACCCTTGATCCGCCCGACGGACAGGTGAATCCTCAGCCTGATGATGGCACGCTGCGCGCCATCGCGACAACGCAGGAAACCATCGACATCGCTGCGCAGTATGTTATGGAGCACATGTGCCACAACCCGAGAACGGGTGCGGTCGATAGGTTGCGCCTGACGGGAGAATTGACACATGTGGTTCCTGCAGATGTGAGAGAGGCCAGTGTGCAGAATTGGAAGACTCCCGTTGGGGAGCTCGACCTGAACCTTCGTGTCATGCGTGTGTTTGTGATTGTCCGCGAGCTCGTCAGCTGTTTCCTCGTCAACGGATATCGCATTGCATGTCCCACGAGTGGCCCCCGTACTCGCCGCGAAGACGACGGGTATGACACTGAACAGCGCCGCACAGACGCATATGCGCTGGACCGCCGTATTCGTATGGCTGCCGATACAGACGACCACGTCGAGGCGTGGGCCCACGACCTCTGCGCCCCGCGTCGCGCCGATCTTCGTCGCCAAGGCGCGAAGTTGCAAGAAGCTGTCTTTTTCTTATGCCCATTCTTAGCATCTGCCCAGGAACAGGACAGTGATGAAGGCCCAATTCGCACTGCCAATGGGAGATACGGTGTCTATGTGACTACTGCTGCGGTGGGTATTGTGAGATATGCGAGGTGGCAGCATGAAAAGCGCCTTCGTGAAGAAGGAGGCGCTGAAGACCCCTCCGACGGCCCAGCCGGTTCGGAGGGGGCTTCTGCCGCGCCAGCAAGGCCAAGCCCTGCTGGTCGCCCGGCTCCACCTGCCCCGCCTAGACCGCCCAGCGTCCAAGGTGCTAGGGCCAGTGATGACATCGCTGAGTCTCCTTGCTCCGCCGGCGGTCAAACCGCATCGGCGGGCGAGGAGTTTTCGAGACGTTCTTCTGAGGGGGGCGCGCGGGATCGGCCGATGACCGCGCGCGCGCGGCGGAGCCATGGCTGCCGGCCGCGGTGATGGCCGCTTTGACCCCGCGATCCACTACCCGCAGTACTCCGCGTCCGGCGAGATACAGGGATGCTGGGTGCACCGCGACCTCATATCCTGGAAGCAACCCAGAGAGAGTAACAGTCGCGTGTGGCACTCTGTATTCTTGAATGAATATAACCCCTACCTCGAGAGACGAGGACAAGGGGTACGCCAAGAACAAGGACAAGTCCAAGAACGTCCGGCCAGCTCCACACGCTGGCACTGGCAAGGGAGGCAAATCAGCTGCGCCTCATCGGACAGCTGGACAGGAGGGAGGTTCTTCGTCTTCAACTCCGAGACCTCCTCCTCTGTCTTCGCGCTCGCAGTCCTCCTGGTGCAGCGAGTGAGTGAGGACGCGAGCCAAACGACCAAGTCGTATTGGCGTCGACCGAACGACCCAGTCGTTTCGGCGAGAGAGGCTTTATTTTAACTATTGGTGGGGTTCGTCGGGTTTCTTCGGCCTTTAGCCCCCTGGCAACCACCGTTGAGCGGTAAAATGCTTTTGGGGTTCGCTCCGGTGGCTGTAAATATGTACAGGCCGGGTGGGCTGTGGCTGGAGTTGCTTTACAAAACACGCCGCGGGGCGAGTAAATATGCTCCTCTCCGCCTCATCGTGTAGTTGCCTCACCTGCTGCCTGCCTTGTCATACACATTACTATTACTGATGCTGTATCATGCAGCCTTTTGTTGCTCGAGTGAGAAAAGGAGCGTGCTGCTGCGCGCCCGCGTCTGGGCGTCGGCCGGCCGGCCTCCTCCCTTCCTATACTTGAGTGTATTTGCTTAACGGATAGCATTTTGTTTCATGGATGTCTCATCCCATACCCTCTACTACTGAGCGTGGTGATCATGAGACCTTAATTCCTTTGGCATCTTACCCCGACTATCAGAGGACATATTTTCCAACCATTTCTCTGCTATGTCGTCTATCTTTCCTTTTTTTTTTTTTTTTTTTTTTTTTTGTTTTTTTTTTTTTTTTTTTTTTTTTTTTTTTTTTTTTTTTTTTTCTCTCTTCTCTCTCTCTCTCTATTTCCCTATTACTGTTTCTCTATCGCTTTCTCTCGTTTTTTTTTTTTTTTTTTTTTTTTTTGTTTTTTTCTCTCTCTCTCTCTCTCTCTTTTTCTCCTGTTTCTCCCGCCCATGTTTCTCGTCGGACTGCCCCCGACGAGATGGCCAAACGGTGAGCGAAGCAGGTCCGGGCTCTCTTGCGCTGCGCCCCTCTCCGTCCAAATCGTTGCTGCAGCCTGTGGACAAGCGGGCGTCGCATTCGAGGTGCGGGGCTACGCACGTCGCTGCCTGCCCCGCAGGACGGCCTCACGGGCTCCGCCTGGGGCGACTGGGCGACCTACACGGATTCGCCGCTGCGCGCCTTCGAGAGCGAGTTGGGCGTGCAGGCGCCCGTCGGCTACTGGGACCCGCTCGGCCTTGCGAAGGATGGCGATGCGGATGTCTTCTACAGGAGGAGGTGCACCGAGATCAAGCACGGCCGCGTCGCCATGTGGGCCGCCATGGGGTACATCGCGCCGGAGTTCTTCCGGTGGCCGGGAAGTGTCGCCCTCGAGGGGCCTGCCTTTGCGAGCCTTCCGAATGGCCTGAGCGCTCTGGGCAAGGTGTCTGGTGCCGGCTGGGGTCAAATGTTTCTGTTCTGCGGCTTCCTCGAGCTTTACGCGGCCAAGCAGGACCCCACGGACCCGCCGGGCAAGCTCAGCGGATCCGAGGCGGGCTTCGGAAAATCGTACTTCGGGGCCCTCGGCGTGTTCAAGGGGGACGGCATCGAGGACCCTGAGAAGAAGAAACGGTCCCTGAACGCGGAGCTGGCCAACGGCCGCCTGGCCATGATGGCCATCATCGGGATGTTCTTCCAGGAGTCGAGGGATACGAAGACCCCTCCGCACATGTCGCCGCCTCCCTCTGTCTCTCTCTCGCTCCCTCTTTTTTTTTTTTGTTTCTCTCTCTCTCTCTGTCTCTCTCTCTCTCTATCTCTCTTTGTTTTCTCTCTCTCTCTATCTCTCTTGTTCTGTCTCCTCCCCGCGCTGCCCCACCACAACATGGAGAGAGGAGTAGGTCCAGACGCTCTTGTGCTGCACCCTCAGGTCCTATCCTCGCTGCAGCCTCTGAGCAATTATTCATTGCGTGGAGCTCCCCATATGTGCATCTATTCGCATGGACCTGTCCGCCGTGAATGTCTAGGCGCAAGAGTTTTCGAATATACACGGGCTTCAGTTGTGACGGTCTGGACATAAATCTAACTGCGAATGAATTGGAGTGTGAAAGAGCCTCAGTAGTACGAGCGCGTCTTTGTGCATGAGCCTGGGGCCTCCTGGGGCCTCCTGAAACCTACTGGGGCTTCCTGGGGTCTCCAGGAGCCTCTTGGGGCCTCCTGGGACCTCCTAGGGAGGTTTCGTGCCCCAGGAGAGGCGCAATACATAGCAACAGACGTACATAAAACATTGCGGATTAGAGCCACAGGAGAAGGGCAATCTATAGGAACACGCGTAAAACACCAAGGACTCGTGCCCCAGGAGAGGCCCAATCTATAGGAACATCAGTAAAACATGTAGGATTGTGTACACAGGAGAAGGACAATCTATAGAAACATACGTATGACATCAAATAATCGTGCTCCAGGTGAGGCCCAATCGATAGGAGCATACGTAAAACACATGGGATTGGAGCCACTCCTGTTGCCTTCTGAGGCCTCCTGCTCCTGGGGCCTCTCGGGGCCTCCTGTTGCCTTCCGAGGCCTCCTGGCGCTTCCTGTTGCCTCCTGGGGCCTCCTGTGGTTTCCTGAGGCCTTCTGGAGCTTCCTGGGGCCTCCTGGAGCCTCTTGGGACATCCTGTGGCCTCTTGAGTCTTTCTGTGGCCTCCTGATGCCTCCTGGGACCTCATGTGGTCTCCTGGGGCCTCCTGGAGCCTGTTGGAGCCTCCTGTGGCATCCTGAGAAGAATCTGCGCCCACGAGCCTGGCCACCAAAACAAGCAAACCGATCGAGACATCCTCAAAATCTGGCCCACCTGGGGGGTGAAAGTGAGCGCCTCGCTCGAGACATCACCCAATTCTGCTCCGAAAACGAAGGATGTTGGCACAGAAAACATGCAAACCGCTCGAGACATCCCCACAAAATCCAGCGAAAGGGGCCGATTGCAATACCCCCCCGCTGCTCCCCTTAGGAACGTGAAAATGAGCGCCTCGCTCGAGAGATCCTCCAAATCTGCTCCGAAAGCGAAGGATGTTGGGACAGAAAACAGGCAAACCGCTCGAGACATCCCCACAAAATCCCGCGAAAGGGGCCGAGTGCACTACCCCCCCGCCGCTCCCCTTAGGAACGTGAAAATGAGCGCCTCGCTCGAGAGATCCTCCAAATCTGCTCCGAAAGCGAAGAGGATGTTGGGACAGAAAACAGGCAAACCGCTCGAGACATCCCCACAAAATTCCGCGAACGGGACCGAGTGAGATACCCCCCCGCCGCTCCCCTTAGAGTGCTGAGACGAGCGAATCGCCTGAGACATCCTCAACATCAGTGTGTGTGTGTGTGTGAGTCATCCGATGAGTGGACCTGAGTGAGTGTAGTGAATGTATGAGTACAAGTACGAGTGAGTCTGAGTGATGAGTGAGTCTGAGTGATGAGTGAATCTGAGTGATGAGTGATGAGTCTGAGTCATGAGTGAATCTGAGTGATGAGTGAGTCTGAGTGATGAGTGAGTCAGAGGAGGTGAGGGTGTTCCTGTGTTCCTCCGGCGCGGTCTGCCAATAATTATTCACTGCGTGGAGCTCCCCATATGTGCATCTATTCGCATGGACCTGTCCGCCGTGAATGTCTAGGCGCAAGAGCTTTCGAATATACACGGGCTTCAGTTGTGACGGTCTGGACATAAATCTAACTGCGAATGAATTGGAGTGTGAATGAGCCTCAGTAGTACGAGCGCGTCTTTGTGCATGAGCCTGGGGCCTCCTGGGGCCTCCTGAAACCTACTGGGGCTTCCTGGGGTCTCCAGGAGCCTCTTGGGGCCTCCTGGGACCTCCTAGGGAGGTTTCGTGCCCCAGGAGAGGCGCAATATATAGCAACAGACGTACATAAAACATTGCGGATTAGACCCTCAGGAGAAGGGCAATCTATAGGAACTCGCGTAAAACACCAAGGACTCGTGCCCCAGGAGAAGCCCAATCTATAGGAACATAAGTAAGACATGTAGGATTGTGTACACAGGAGAAGGACAATCTGTAGAAACATACGTATGACATCAAAGAATCGTGCTCCAGGTGAGGCCCAATCGATAGGAGCATACGTAAAACACATGGGATTGGAGCCACTCCTGTTGCCTTCTGAGGCCTCCTGCTCCTGGGGCCTCTCGGGGCCTCCTGTTGCCTTCCGAGGCCTCCTGGCGCTTCCTGTTGCCTCCTGGGGCCTCCTGTGGTTTCCTGAGGCCTTCTGGAGCTTCCTGGGGCCTCCTGGAGCCTCTTGGGACATCCTGTGGCCTCTTGAGTCTTTCTGTGGCCTCCTGATGCCTCCTGGGACCTCATGTGGTCTCCTGGGGCCTCCTGGAGCCTGTTGGAGCCTCCTGTGGCATCCTGGGAAGAATCTGCGCCCACGAGCCTGGCCACCAAAACAAGCAAACCGATCGAGACATCCTCAAAATCTGGCCCACCTGGGGGGTGAAAATGAGCGCCTCGCTCGAGACATCCTCCAAATCTGCTCCGAAAGCGAAGGATCTTGGCACAGAAAACAGGCAAACCGCTCGGGACATCCCCCAAAAATCCCGCGAAAGGGGCCGAGTGCAATACCCCCCCGCCGCTCCCCGTAGGAACGTGAAAATGAGCGCCTCGCTCGAGACATCCTCCAAATCTGCTCCGAAAGCGAAGGAAGTTGGGACAGAAAACAGGCAAACCGCTCGAGACATCCCCACAAAATCCCGCGAACGGGACCCCGTGAGATACCCCCCCGCCGCTCCCCTTAGGAACATGAGAATGAGCGCCTCGCTCGAGACATCCTCCAAATCTGCTCCGTAGGCGAAGGATGTTGGGACCGAAAACAGGCAAACCGCTCGAGACATCCCCACAAAATTCCGCGAACGGGACCGAGTGAGATACCCCCCCGCCGCTCCCCTTAGAGTGCTGAGACGACCGAATCGCCTGAGACATCCTCAACATCAGTGTGTGTGTGAGTCATCCGATGAGTGGACCTGAGTGAGTGTAGTGAATGTATGGGTGCAAGTACGAGTGAGTCTGAGTGATGAGTGAGTCTGAGTGATAAGTGAGTCTGAGTGATGAGTGAGTCTGAGTGGTGAGTGATGAGTCTGAGTCATGACTGAGTCCGAGTGATGAGTGAATCTGAGTGATGAGTGAGTCTGAGTGATGAGTGGGTCTGAGTGATGAGTGAGTCTGAGTGGGTCTGAGTGAGAGGAGGTGAGGGTGTTCCTGTGTTCCTCCGGCGCGGTCTGCCAATTATTCACTGCGTGGAGCTCCCCATCTGTGCATCTATTCGCATGGACCTGTCCGCCGTGAATGTCTAGGCGCAAGAGCTTTCGAATATTCACGGGCTTCAGTTGTGACGGTCTGGACATAAATCTAATTGCGAATGAATTGGACTGTGAATGAGCCTCAGTAGTACGAGCGCGTCTTTGTGCATGAGCCTGGGGCCTCCTGGGGCCTCCTAAACCTACTGGGGCTTCTGGGGTCTCCAGGAGCCTCTTGGGGCCTTCTGGGACCTCCTTTGGAGGTTTCGTGCCCCAGGAGAGGCGCAATATATAGCAACAGACGTACATAAAACATTGCGGATTAGAGCCACAGGAGAAGGGCAATCTATAGGAACACGCGTAAAACACCAAGGACTCGTGCCCCAGGAGAGGCCCAATCTATAGGAACATAAGTAAAACATGTAGGATTGTGTACACAGGAGAAGGACAATCTATAGAAACATACGTATAACATCAAATAATCGTGCTCCAGGTGAGGCCCAATCGATAGGAGCATACGTAAAACACATGGGATTGGAGCCACTCCTGTTGCCTTCTGAGGCCTCCTGCTCCTGGGGCCTCTCGGGGCCTCCTGTTGCCTTCCGAGGCCTCCTGGCGCTTCCTGTTGCCTCCTGGGGCCTCCTGTGGTTTCCTGAGGCCTTCTGGAGCTTCCTGGGGCCTCCTGGAGCCTCTTGGGACATCCTGTGGCCTCTTGAGTCTTTCTGTGGCCTCCTGATGCCTCCTGGGACCTCATGTGGTCTCCTGGGGCCTCCTGGAGCCTGTTGGAGCCTCCTGTGGCATCCTGGGAACAAGCAAACCAAACCGATCGAGACATCCTCAAAATCTGGCCCACCTGGGGGGTGAAAATGAGCGCCTCGCTCGAGACATCCTCCAAATCTGCTCCGAAAGCGAAGGATGTTGGCGCAGAAACCAGGCAAACCGCTCGAGACATCCCCACAAAATCCAGCGAAAGGGGCCGAGTGCAATACCCCCCCCGCCGCTCCCCTTAGGAACGTGAAAATGAGCGCCTCGCTCGAGACATCCTCCAAATCTGCTCCGAAAGCGAAGGAAGTTGGGACAGAAAACAGGCAAACCGCTCGAGACAACCCCACAAAATCCCGCGAAAGGGGCCGAGTGCAATACCCCCCCGCCGCTCCCCTTAGGAACGTGAAAATGAGCGCCTCGCTCGAGACATCCTCCAAATCTGCTCCGAAAGCGAAGGATGTTGGGACAGAAAACAGGCAAACCGCTCGAGACATCCCCACAAAATTCCGCGAACGGGACCCCGTGAGATACCCCCCCGCCGCTCCCCTTAGAGTGCTGAGACGAGCGAATCGCCTGAGACATCCTCAACATCAGTGTGTGTGTGTGTGTGTGTGTGTGTGTGAGAGAGTCATCCGATGAGTGGACCTGAGTGAGTGTAGTGAATGTATGAGTACAAGTACGAGTGAGTCTGAGTGATGAGTGAGTCTGGGTGATTAGTGAGTCTGAGTGATGAGTGAGTCTGAGTGATGAGTGATGAGTCTGAGTCATGACTGAGTCCGAGTGATGAGTGAGTCTGAGTGATGAGTGAGTCAGAGGAGGTGAGGGTGTTCCTGTGTTCCTCCGGCGCGGTCTGCCAATTGCTCACTGCGTGGAGCTCCCCATATGTGCATCTATTCGCATGGACCTGTCCGCCGTGAATGTCTAGGCGCAAGAGCTTTCGAATGTACACGGGCTTCAGTTGTGACGGTCTGGACATGAATCTAACTGCGAATGAATTGGAGTGTGAATGAGCCTCAGTAGTACGAGCGCGTCTTTGTGCATGAGCCTGGGGCCTCCTGGGGCCTCCTGAAACCTACTGGGGCTTCCTGGGGTCTCCAGGAGCCTCTTGGGGCCTCCTGGGACCTCCTAGGGAGGTTTCGTGCCCCAGGAGAGGCGCAATCTATAGCAACAGACGTACATAAAACATTGCGGATTAGAGCCACAGGAGAAGGGCAATCTATAGGAACACGCGTAAAACACCAAGGACTCGTGCCCCAGGAGAGGCCCAATCTATAGGAACATAAGTAAAACATGTAGGATTGTGTACACAGGAGAAGGACAATCTATAGAAACATACGTATAACATCAAAGAATCGTGCTCCAGGTGAGGCCCAATCGATAGGAGCATACGTAAAACACATGGGATTGGAGCCACTCCTGTTGCCTTCTGAGGCCTCCTGCTCCTGGGGCCTCTCGGGGCCTCCTGTTGCCTTCCGAGGCCTCCTGGCGCTTCCTGTTGCCTCCTGGGGCCTCCTGTGGTTTCCTGAGGCCTTCTGGAGCTTCCTGGGGCCTCCTGGAGCCTCTTGGGACATCCTGTGGCCTCTTGAGTCTTTCTGTGGCCTCCTGATGCCTCCTGGGACCTCATGTGGCCTCCTGGGGCCTCCTGGAGCCTGTTGGAGCCTCCTGTGGCATCCTGAGAAGAGTCTGCGCCCACGAGCCTGGCCACCCAAACAAGCAAACCGATCGAGACATCCTCAAAATCTGGCCCACCTGGGGGGTGAAAATGAGCGCCTCGCTCGAGACATCCTCCAAACCTGCTCCGAGAGCGAAGGATGTTGGGACAGAAACCAGGCAAACCGCTCGAGACATCCCCACAAAATCCAGCGAAAGGGGCCGAGTGCAATACCCCCCCGCCGCTCCCCTTAGGAGTGCTGAAGCCACAGAATCGCCTGAGACATCCTCAACATCAGTGTGTGTGTGTGGGTCATCCGATGAGTGGACCTGAGTGAGTGTAGTGAATGTATGAGTACAAGTACGAGTGAGTCTGAGTGATGAGTGAGTCTGAGTGATGAGTGAGTCTGAGTGATGAGTGAGTCTGAGTGATGAGTGATGAGTCTGAGTCATGACTGAGTCCGAGTGATGAGTGAGTCTGAGTGATGAGTGAGTCTGAGTGATGAGTGGGTCTGAGTGATGAGTGAGTCTGAGTGATGAGTGAGTGGGGTGGATGGGGGAGGAGGCGAGGAGGAGGAGGTTCCTCCGGCGCGGTCGGCCAATAGCAAGAACCCCATACTTGGGATATGGGGAATAACAAGAACCCCATCTCTTTGGATATGGGGAAAACAAGAACCCCATCTCTTTGGATATGGGGAAAAAGAATTCGCAGCTGGGGGGCGGGGCCCCACGTCGCTGGCTGCCCCGAAGGATGGCCTTACGGGCTCCGCCTGGGGCGACTGGGCGACCTACTCGGATTCGCCGCTGCGCGCTGAGGGCAAGCTTGGCAGATAGACGGCGCGGTGGGCTCAAGAAGGTTTTTTTTTCAAACCCTGCCACGATGCGTCAGATAGACGGCGCGGTGGACTCAATAACGTTTTTCTCAAACCCTGCCACGATGTGTCAAAAGAGCCGTGCGATTTCAACATTCATGCCACGCTGTGCGGCTTTGTCGTCCTCGCCTGTGCGGCGCTATCAGGCCGTGCTTATTTGGCATCTGCGTGTTTATATGGTGTGTCACGGGGCGGTCAGATGTGCTTGTTCCTGCTTGGGCAGCAGAGACAGTTCCATGGCCAGCGAATCATTGACGGTTCCTACCAATCTGGTGATCTCCAGGAATTGCGATGTCAATTCCAAATCGGTTGTCTGGTGTCGTGCCGTGACGTGCCGTGTGCCGCTAGTCTCGCGTGGTCGAGAACCAAGCTGTTTGCCAGGTGCTGCGCCATGTCGTGTGGAGTGGTGCTGGGCCGACGCAGGCGCGAATGGAGTGTTCTGCTGCGGGGTGTTGTGCTGGTCTTGGCGAAAGGGAAATTCTTGACGAGTTCCGTAGCCCTTGGCTCAAGCCGCGCCGGCCGAGGCCGCTGGACTGACCGCTGCCCTGGCCCTGGCCTGGCGCTGAGCTGGGGAGGCTTCTGCTCGGATGGGCTCCCCGCTGGTGGGGCGGCTGAAGACGCAGCTCAGCCGCCTCGCTGGGGACCCGGAGGGGCTGTACGTCACCGCCGAGAATCTCAAGCGCCTCCTCCGGCAGCTGGACCCGAGCTCGGCGATCATCTCGGACGAGGGCTTCAACGTCTTCGCGTCTGTGACCCCCAAGGAGTCCAACGGCCAGATCTCCGTTGGCACAATCGTCGACTGGCTCTACGAAGACTCGGACTTCGGCTTGCCGGAAATGCAGGAAAAGAGCCCGTCGACGATGTGTTCTGGAGCAATCACCAGACTCCGACGGTCTCGGGAGCTCGCCGCGCGTTGCTGGCGCGGCTGCTGTCCACGGACCCCGAGGCGGTCGACGAGGAAGCCATGAACATCAAGGCTTCCATGCCGCCTTTAAACAACAGCAAGAAGATGAAGCTGCCGAAGTTACTTCTGTCTAGTAACGTGCCAGTCTACGGACCGAACATCCCGAACTCGGTGATGAAGATCTTCGAGCCCGCCGATATGAGAGCTCTTGCGCAGGGGCTTTCGTGCAGAATACCTTCTTATGTTCTCAACCGCGTAGTCCAGAGCAAGATGCGCCCAAAGTCGTCGACCTTGTCAATGCCGCGCGCAGTATAGACGACATCGCCCAGAGGAACGGGGCCGCCGTAGACAAGCTAGAGAGTTTCGTGAAAGGTCTGCTAGATCTCAATTCGGCGGATGTTCCTTCGTGAACAGGTACGCGGGCGACGGATGGGCGCACAAGCTGCACTTCGACCACACTCTCGACAACTTCGGATTCGACAAGGAGGCGTCGGACGTGCTCCGCAAGAGAGAGACCAAGAACTCGGACGGTGAGACTGTGACCCTAGAGCATTACGCCTTCCGCTGGCTTAGCAAGGCGTTCGCGGCTTACGGCGTCGAGGGTTGCATGACGGACGTCGTCAATCTGATCTTCGCAATGATGGGTATCATTCCTGAAGATCTGGACAAGGGCAAGATCGCCGAATACATTGATTCATTCAGAGATGATCTATTGGGGAAGAAGGATTTCTCTGAGCTCTGGGTTCCTAAGTATTTTGTTATGGACGCAGAGGTCGATGATTCCCTTACTATGGTTATCTTGTCGTACGTGCATGAAGCGCGTGGTACCACGCTTCAGACGTTTGTCCAGCTGCCCGGCGATGAGTCCATCAACGAGGCCGCGGCGACGCTCGCGAAGCTCAACGACGTCTACGTCTACCGTGATCCAGAGGCCAGGAATCGGCAGGAATCAGCAGGCCGTGCTGCAGAAGTTTGGTACGCATCGCTAAGGCGCCATGCCCGCGCGGTGTTTCTGCAATCGCTTCCGCAACTTGCCGCAGCGCAGGGCCCCTTCCCCCCTCCTCGCCCCTCCCAGACCCTCTCCTGCTCGCTTCTCCCCTCGCTCGCCGCCGAGATCTGCTCATCTGCCGCGGTTGCTCGCGGGGCCTGCCTGCGGGCGTCTCACCGTGCCGCTCACCTCCGCTCACCGCAGTTGAGCTGGTCTGCGCCCTCGGCCGCTGCCCTCCCTCCGGCGTTGTACTCGCGGCCTCGGTGCTGTCAGGCTGGAAGTCGCCCGTGAGCTCATTTAGGAGGCCACACGCGAACCCTACCCCCACTCCCCACGATTTCTGAGGGGGAGGGTGGGGTTCACTTCGCTCCCGAGCGGAGTGAACCCCACCCTCCCCCTCAGAAATCGTGGGGGGTAGGGGTAGGGTTCGCGTGTGGCCCCCTATCGTTGTCGGCGTCACCCCAGCATGCCGATGCCGCGTGTGCGCCGCCCCCCCCCCCCCCCCCATGGGGCGACGCGCGCACCGAGAAGTCTTGCAGTCTATGCATCGTAGCGGGCGCTTTCTGGCCACACCGCTCGGGAAGCGATATGCTAGAATACACTACTGTGCCGCTTTTGTTTGTATGAAAAACAACGATGAGTACGTGCATACATTGATTCATACATTAATCATGAATAAAAAATCCTACATTCTTAAAAATCCCATGTATCAAAAACTGCCCTGCAGGTGGCTCGCGCTGGCAGGCTCTGGCCGAAGTCGCGCGCGAGCCTGCGCGCGCGAGGGCGTGGCAGAACTGCGGCCCGCCGGGCAGGCGCGGAGCCTCGGGGGGCCCGCCCGTTGCACCCTCTGACTGCTCCAGCGTGGTGCGAGGGACAAAACTATTATTCACTGCGTGGCACGCTCCCCATATTGGAGGCCTGGAGATTGGCACCAACACCAGCACAAGAGGTTGCCTCCACATGGGGAAACTGATCCTAGATTTCGGTGTTGGTGGTAATATTTTGGCCACCTTGGAAACCAAAATATTACAACCATCACCGAGATTGGGATCGTCCTCCCTCGGCGGAGGCACACCGCCGATCTTGGTGTTGGTGTCAACCTCTAGGCCTGCCACCATAATGTGCATCTATTCGCATGGACCTGTCCGCCGTAAATGTCTGGGCGCATGAGTTTTCGAGCACAAACGGGCTTGAGTCGTGACGGTCTGGTCATGAATCTGACTGCGAATGAGTTGGAGTGTGAATGAGTCTCGGTGGTACGAGCGCGTCTCTGCGCATGAGCCTGGGGCCTCCTGGGGCCTCCAGGAGCCTCTTGGGGCCTCCTGGGGCCTCTTGGGGCTTCGAGTGGCCTCCTGAGGCCTCCTGGAGCCTCCTGGAGCCTCGCGTAGCCTCCTGGAGCCTCCTGGAGCCTCCTGGGACCTCCTAGGGAGGATTCGTGCCCCAGGAGAAGCCCGATATATAGGAACAGACGTGCATGAAACATTGCGGATTGGAGCCACAGGAGAAGGGCAGTCTTTTGGAGCACACGTAAAACACCAAGGACTCGTGCCCCAGGGGAGGCCCAATCTATAGGAACATACGTAAAACATTTAGGATTGTATACACAGGAGAAGGACAATATACATATATATATATATATAGATATGGAGACGTACGTATAACATCAAGGATTCGTGCTCCAGGTGAGGCCCAATCTATAGGAGCATACGCAAACCACATGGGGTTGGAGCCACTCCTGATGCCTTCTGAGGCCTCCTGCTCCTGGGGCCTCGGGGCCTCCTGGCGCTTCCTGTGGCCTCCTGGGGTCTCCTGTGGCTTCCTGAGGCCTCCTGGAGCTTGGTGGGGCCCCCTGGAGCCTCTTGGTGCATCCTGTGGCCTCTTGCATCTTCCTGTGGCTCCTGATGCCTCCTGGGGCCTCATGTGGCCTCCTGGGGCCTCCTGAAGACTGCTGGAGCCTCCTGTGGCATCCTCGGGAGAATGTGTGCCCACGAGTCTGGCCACCAAAACAGGCAAACCGATCGAGACATCCTCAACATCTCGCCCCCCTGGGGGGCGAAAGTGAGCGCCTCGCTCGAAACATCCTCCAAATCTGCCGAAAGCGGAGGATGTTAGGGACCAAAACAGGCAAACCGCTTGAGACATCCCCGCCAGTTGGGCGCGAACGGAGGCCGTGAGATACCCCTGGCGGCCCCCCCTTAGGAGGCGCCTCGCACGAGACATCCTCAAAATCTGCTCCGAAAGCGGAGGCTGTTGGGGACCAAAACAGGCAAACTGCTTGAGACATCCCCACCATTTGGGCGCGAACGGAGGCCGTGAGATACCCCTGGCGCCCCCCCCATTAGGAGTGCTAGAACCAGCAAGCCGCTCGAGACATCCTCATCATCAGCTCATCATCTGCTCATCATCATCTGCTCATCATCATCTGCTCATCATCATCATCATCATCATCATCATCATCATCATCATCATCATCATCATCATCAGCAGCAGCATCATCATCATCATCAGCATCATCATCAGCATCAGCATCAGCATCAGCATCAGCATCAGCATCATCATCATCACCATCATCAATCCATCATTCACCATCACCATCATAATCACAACATGCTCTCACCGTACCATGGTCATCATCATGACAATCATCATCATTGTCTAGTGCAGAATGGGGGAGGTGGTATGGGTGGTCCGGCGCGGTCGGAGAATAACAAGAACCCCATCCTTTGGATATGGGGAAAAACAAATCTCACCCTGGCCTTTGCTCGGACCTGGCCACGGCCTGGCCCGGTGTCCCTGGCACTGGCCCCTCTCTTCGTGATGTCTTCGACTCACGCGTCTTGTCGCGGGCTCCTGGGCACAGGTCACCCCAGCCCTCGTTGTCTCCGACCCCGCTCCGTCCCTCGCCCCTGTGGCACTCATTCTGGTTCCGTGGAGTCGGGTGAGGCACCCTGGCGTTCAGGCGACGTGCGTTCTGACCAGTTCCGGCATGAGTGCTTGCACTTCCCTGGCCTCTGGTCTCCAGTCACCGCCACAGCCTGGCTGTGTCTGCCGTTGCCGCTGGCCTGTTGGGTTCTGGCCCGCTGGTTTGCTCAGGGGTGGTTCAGCCTTCTTGATCGACCAGGTGTGTCCCTCCCTGTCGGTCTGCAGCCAAGCACGTTGGTCTGTCTATACAGCCCCGCGCTGCGCCACTTCTGTGGCGCGTCGACCTCTGGCGCCTGGATGCGACAAGGTCCAATTCATCCATCTCGGTGGTCTCATCCTTGGGGTGCCCGCACGCTTGCACTGCCACCTGGCAGCCCCTGGCAGCTCTTGCAGCCTTTGCCCTCGGCGCAGCCCAGCTTCCCCCGGCGGTAGGATTGCAGTTGCCTGCGCGCGCGCTAGGCAATTAGTTCTGCTCGTAGCCCGAGCCGTCCTGTGACGCCGCCGGCGCCCTCGCCTGCGGTTGCGACAAAAAATCCCCAGTAGCCCCGGTGGTCTCGTCCCTGGAATGGATGCCCTTCAGCCGCCTGGCACACCTGGCACCTCTTGCAGCTCTGCTTTCAGTCCCCGGCGTCGCTCCTCGGCGTCCCTCGGCGGCAGTTTCGGCGGCCGTTAGTTCGCGCGCTTAGGTAATTAGGTTTGGCTCGTAGCCTGGGCTGACTTCGGACGCCGCCTGCGCTTCCGCTTGCGGCCGCGACGGACAAATCCCCACTAGCCCATCTAGAGACAGATATCGCCAGGCGAGTTGCCTTGATTGGGGAAGTGTAGAATACAGCAGTGTGACAGCCGCCTTTGAAGTGTTTTCTCGGAGGTCTCTTGGAGCCATCTTGGGTCTTTTTTGGGGTCCTCGCGGGGCCACTTGCGGCACTCTTGTGGCCCTTTTGGGGCTCTTTTGGGGGGTCTAGGCGCCCTCTTGGTTTTTTTTGGGGGGGGGACTCGGAGGCCTCTTGCGGCAATGTTGGGCCCACTGTTCGAAGAAAGGGGGGGGTGTAAGTGCAGCCCCCCCCCCCGCTCGGAGGCTCAGAAATGGCGTCTTGGGGCGTTCTTGGGGCGCTTGTGGGCGCTCTTGGGGCCGTCTTGGAGCCCTCTGGGGTCCCTCTTGGGGCTCTCTTGGTCCATCATGGGGCCATCTTGAGGCTTCCGAGGACCATCGGAAACGAAAAGGCGAAAATTCCCAAACCCATCTATTTTCCCCCAGGCTTTGGAACCATTTTTGCCTCTTGGGGGGGTCCTTGGAGGGCTCTGAGGGCACTTGAAGCCGTCTTGGGGCCGTCTTGAGGCCTCTGGGATGTGCGTCGGAGGCTATCTTGAGCCGTGTTGAGTCACCTTGCGCCATCTTGGAGGCCCTCCTGGAGCCATCTCGGGCGATCTGGGGGGCCCTGACGCCTCGCGGCCTCCCTCCCAGGCCCAGGGGAGGGGGGATCTGGGCCCCCCCCCGAGCAGGGGAATGAGGGATGCTGGGCAGAGGGCAGACACAACTCGCCAAACCACCTGCGCACAGAGGGCCGGTGGACTTCTGCCTCCTGCGCCGCAGAAGCGTGGCATGCCGCGTGGTGCTGCGCCGGCGCGGCGGAGGCTGGTGCCGTGCCGTGCCGCACGCAGTGGCACGCTGGCGCGGGCAGAGGTACAATCGAAGGCGCGGCAGCGCTCCGTGTCATGCTGCGCATCTGGTGGCCCTCGCCCCCTTCCGCAGTCGTGCTTGGACTGTGGGCAGGAAGCCTTGTGGAGGCCTCCCGGGGCTTCGCGGGGGGTCTCTCGGGACCTCCGGCGGGCCCGCTGCGGGCCTCTCAGTGGCCTGTGGGCGCCTCACTGAGGCCTCGCGGGGGCCGTTGGGGGTCCCCTGGGGTCTTAGGTCCCTGGTGGAGGGCAGGCCTCCGGCGGTCTGCCAGTGGCGCGGCTGTGTCTGCCAGTGGCGCGGCTGTGGGCCCTCCTCGGGGCCGCCTCGGCGGCCTCCGGCGCTCCCCGTGGGGAGCCTCGAGGGCCACCTTGGGGCGATCTTGGTGGCCTCTTGGGCAGTCGCGGGCGCTCTGAAGACTGTAGAGGTGAGACTGCTGAGCTCGCGCCGGCGCCCCAAGATTGGCGGACGATGTCTGCCCATCGGGCTGGCCCCGGGGGTCTCCAAGAGATGGCTCCAACACGGGCCCCTTGGACGATCTTGGGGCGCGGTGGAAGGTTTGGGTCCCCAAGAGCGCTGCTGGGGCCGCGGGAAAGGTCGCGCCCCAGGCCCCGGAAGCGCACGGGACTGCGTGCAAGTTTGGGTGGGGCCCCCTGGCAAGTAGCACAGCATTCGGGTCGGATGGACTAGTCCATTCGGTATCGAGGGCTGTTGTGCGCGTGAGGGCAGTCCGCTCCGTGCACATGCGGCGCGGAGGCCGGTTGGCTGCCGTGCTGACCTGGGTCGGCGAGGCTCGGGTGTGCCGTGCCGTGCTGTGCTGTCTGGCGCGGCGCCCGTGTGGGCCAGAATGGATCGGCTGCGCAGTGCTGCGCCACGCCATGCCACGTGTTGCCGCGCGTGCACGGGCGAGAGTGAAACAGGCCGTCCAGCGCCATGCCGCCCCGTGCTGCGTACGACTGAGCTTGCGCGGGCGAGAGCGATTCCGTCCGTCCAGCACCGCGCCGTGCCGAGCTGCGTGGTGCTGTTCCCCCGCGCGCGAGGATAGGATCGGTTACGTGGTGCGGTGCCGTGTCTTCTTGCAGGGTGCTGTTCCATGGGCCAGGATCTCGGACTCGGCTGTACGTTGCCGTGGCATGCCCTGCAGCGTGATGCCGAATCCCCCTCCACAGGGCGCGGATCCGTTTCTTTGGCGTGGTGCCACATCGTGCCGCGTATTGCCGCGCCCCTCCAAATGAGTTTCAACTCGACCAAGCACCAAGCGACACCGCCCCACCTACGACCCGCCGTGTTGAGTTGTTGCGACCTTGCCGCGCACTCGTTTCGGAGATGCCTCGGTCTCCGTGATAACGCACCGCGGCTGCACGGGGCAAGTGCCGAAACTTTCAACATTGCTGGGTCGTAGGTGGGGTGGTGTCGTTTTGGTTTCTGGTCCATCAGCGTGGTTCAACGACAGGATGAGTGAACCGGCCAGCCGGCTCTTCCGCTCCCCCCTGCTCCCCAGCATATGATTATTGTGTTGGAGAGGCCTCACGGCCTGTGCCGCCGACCCTGAAAGACGACGACGACGACGACGACGACGACGACGACGACGACGACGACGATGCTGACGTGGGTCAGAGTCCTCAGGGATGCTTCTTGGGGTCTCTTCGGAGCGCTCTCGTTGGCCTCTGGGGGGTAGTTTTGGGGCCTCCTGGGAGCCTCTTGGGGGCCTGTTGGGAGGCTTTTGGGGGCCTCTTGGGGCTCTTGGGGGCATCTTGGAGGCTTCTTGGTGCTTCCTCGCAGCCTCTCAAGCCGAGGGCTCGAAATGTCCGTTCGGGTTCCCCGTCTGGGCGTCCTCTTGGAGCCGTCTTGGGGGCCTCTTGGGCCGTATTGGAGGCCTCTTGGGTCGTCTTGGGGCCCTCTTGTGTCGTTTTGGGGCCCTCTTGGAGGCCTCTTAGGCTATGTTGGGGCGATCTTGAGGGCCTCATGGGCCGTCTTGGAGTGTCCGGAAGTCAAAGGCGAGAATCCCAACATCTATTCAAAACCAAATCAACGTCAAACATTTTCGCCTCTTGGGGCCCTCTTGGGACTGCTCTTGGAGGCTTCTTTGGGGCGTTTCGGAAACTTCTCGGGCCGTCTGGGGGCTACCTGGGCTACCTTGGCGTCTTGGACCGTTAGTTCGGCGATTCGGAATTCGGGGCCCGCTTGGACCGTCTTGGGGGCCTCTTGGGCTAGTCTTGCTCCGCCTTGGGGGGTTTTGGGCTTTGGGACCCCCCAGGGGGGTGGCACGCTGACCCGGGACTTGCCCCCCGAGACTCCCCCAGGGACACCCCCGGGACCCCACCTGGGACCCCCCTCTCGGGGCGGGCGAGGAGGGATCGAAGGGAAGGGGCTTCTTCTCGACTCCACTGCGTTGCTGCTCAATTTGGCTTTGGCCGGCGCGCTCGAGGCGGAGGGCCTGGGTAAACGGGGGGGGGGGAGCGGCAACGGCGACGGCGACGGCGACGGCGACTACGACGGCGACGGCGACGGCGACGGCGACGGCGACGGCCACGACGACGACGGCGACGACGACGGCGACGACGAACGGAAGAGCGCTTGCCGCACGCCGAAAGGGTCGGCGGATGTGTCGGCGCCGCAGTGCCATCGCCTGGCCCCCTCGCAGGGCCGTCCCGCGGGACGAAGGGGCGCAGCGTCCGGTGTCCAGCGCTTGGGCGACCCGGGAGGGTTTCTCCGAGGGGCTCCTCCTCCTCCCCGTCCTCCTCCTCCTCCTCCTCTCCTCCTCCTCCTCTCCTCCTCCTCCTCCTCCTCCTCCTCCTCCTCCTCCTCCTCCTCCTCCTCCTCCCCCTCCTCCTCCTCCTCCTCCCTCCTCCTCCTCTCCTCCTCCTCCTCCTCCTCTCTCCTCCGTCTCCTCCTCCCCCTCCTCCTCCTCCTCCTCCTCCTCCTCCTCCTCCTCCTCCTCCTCTTCCTCCTCCTCCTCCTCGGGTCGCCTACGGCCCCGCGGGAAACCGTGCACCCCCCCTTCTTTCCGAAGCAGGGAACCGAACTCTATACACCGACACCTGACATTTGCACAGGAAAGCGGATCCTGGTGTATACGGGATCTTGGTGCATACATGTTTCGGTGTTTCCCCAGGACACGGAAAAAATGTATACACCACATTGCCCCGACGTCGCCCCCGACCCTCAAAGAGTCTTAGGATTGAAAACAGCTCGCCACTGGTAATGTATATGCTTCAGGTTTCGACTAAGCATCACAGCGCAATTCTTCGAAAAGCTCAGACCCCCGACGTCATGTTTTTTTCATAATGTCGACCCCCAAAGGTCTCGACCCATTCCCAGGGACCGGTTTCTCATCCAGAGTCGTGTTTTGATTGTCCCGAGGGCCGGTGAGGGCCCCCAGAGGCCGAAAATAGAGAAAACCTCCCGTCATGATATTGTCATGACCCGAAGGGATCTGGGTCACCACGTGAGCATGAGATCTGCAGAAAAACGCCACTGGATGGCCCCTGCTTCGAAAAGCTGGCTCAGCACGCGCGACTATCTCATACCAGTGCTCGTGTCAGACCTCTTGGCCACAGCTCCTGCTGCCGCGGTCCCTCCCCGCCTGCTCTGCTCCGTGTGAGCTGTGTACTTGCATGGTGTGCTGCTCCTGCGAGGTGCGGGATTGGAGTTCTCCGTTGCTCGGACGATGCTGCCCTGTTGCCCTGTCGGCGGAGTGCTCCGCGCTCCATGGGCCCCGTGGGGGCACTGAGAGCCTGGCATCCACGACGCCGCCACCTTCACACGCAGTCTTCTGCCTCACATGTGCAGGCCTCGGTGCGGTGCTCCGTCCAGGCCGCGATGCTCCTGCGCAAAGGCCGAGGCGATCCTCGCCCTGGGCCCCGTCCCGCCCCCCAGCGCGGGCGAGCCGGCGCGCCAAGGGACACCGGCCTCAAGAGTCCTCGGGCCAGCTGCGGCGTCGCGCACAGGGGAGCGGCGGGCGGGGAGGCGCAGCGCCGGCGGTCTCGCCAGCCTGCCTCCTCGCCCCGTGCATTGCCGTCCGGCCCGGCCGCAGCGCGCTACGGCCCGCCGCCGCCCGTGCCGTGGCGCGCGCGCGCATGCCGTGATGGGCAGCGGCGCGCGAGAGCCCGCGCGCGGCGGGGCAGCATGGCGGCGCGGGAGGAGGACGAGGAAGCCCGCGGCGTCTCGGCCCGCCTTCGTCGTCCGCGCTGTGCTTGCCGCGGGGGGGCGGGGGGCTGCCCCGTCTCGGCGGCGGCGCGCCGATGGGGTGTGTGTGGGAGAGGGGGCAGGCCTGCTCAGAGTGAAGGCGGGGCTTCGGAGAGGGCTCAGAAGGGGTCCTCAGATGGCAGGAGGCCGCCTGCGGCCTCCGAGGGGGGCCGGGCCCCCCCGCCCCGGGCGCGTGGCGGGGGTCCCGGGGCCGCTGGAGGCCGTCTTGGATGCTCTTCGGGGTCTCTTGGGACCGCGGCCGAGCCGTTTGCAAGGCTCGGCAGGGGCTTCCGGCAGAAAGCTCGCGGGAGCCCCGGGCGCCGTGGATCCCGTTTGGGGGGTGGGGGGTGGTCCGCAGGGTTCCAGATTAGAGCAGTGTGGCCAAGGGGATCCACACATATCTATCTTTGTTCATCTGCACGTGCGTGTGTGTCTGTGTGTGTGTGTATATGCGCTATCCAGGGTTTCGGGTGCCCACGTCTGCCCTTTCCAGAGGGATGGGTCCCAGAGTTCCTACGCCCCCCCTGGGTGGGATTGGTGGGTGGGTGGGTGGGACGACGACGACGACGACTGCGACGACGACAGCGAAAACGATTACAATGACGACGACGACGACGACGGTGGCGACGACGAGGACGATGCCGTCGACGACTATTACAACGACGAGGACGGCAACGGTGACGGCGCGGGATAATAAATGCACGTGCGTATGTACAGGTGTATATATATATATATATAGATATGTGTACACATGCGTATTCACAGTGTGTTCATATGTATATACATATGTATACACATATGTTTCTGTAAGACGGATGCACATGGTCGTCGGCGAATCCGTGCTCCTGGGTAAAACCAACCGCAGTCTGCAAACATAATTACTGCGGAAACCAGCGATGATAGAGAACGATGTGATACCACCAGAGCCAGTGCTGACGCGCAGGTAATGACGACATATTGGAAGTTTTATTTGTCTCCTGGTAATTCTTTTTCTCATCGTTGGAATTCAGATACAACCCCCTTCGCTACCACGATTCTGTCGGAATTCGAGGAATACGAATGCACATTCTTTTCAAATTCATAATGCTCTCTGAAGTTTATGTTGTCTGCAACCTAAGCGATTCGCGAATTTCTTCCCAACTTGCAATTCCTTCCTAGTTCTAGGGGTCCAAATGAAAATCCCCTCCTATCGTCCAATGCCTTCCTTGTCATTTGATTTCCACTACTTTCTTCCAGATTTTCAAGTCCGTCTTACTTTCAGGGGTTCCAGTACCAGTTATCGTGATGGCCTCCGGCCTGTGCCGCCGATCCGGGGCGCTCCGAGTGTTGTGACTCGACTCTCCCTCCTTCTCTCCCTGCCTCACTCCCTCCCTCCTTCCCTCCCTCTCTCCTCCCCTCCCTCCCTCCCCTCCCTCCCCATAGCCCTTCCCCCCTCCCGGGCCCCTCTCCCTCCACCCTGCGTCCCCCTCTCTCCTTCCCCGCCCTGCGTCCCCACCACCCTCCCCCCTTTCCCCTCCCCCCTCTCCCCCTGTCTCCCCCCTCTCCCCACCCTCCCCTCTCTCCCCCTTTCCCCCCTCCTCCCCCCCCTTCCCTCCCCCCCCCTCCTCCCCTCTCCCCCTCTCCCCCCTCTCCCCCCCCCTCCCCTCTCCCCCTTTTTTTCCCCCCTCTCCACAATTACTCAATATGAATACTACTCTCCCTCTTCCCTTGATGACGGCTTGAAAGTGTTAGCCCCCCCCCCCGCGTACTGTTTTTTTACAGGATTCCCCGGAGTTGGGTTTTCGCCTGCATTTTTTTCCAAAATGCTGCTCTCGCTGAGGCGCCGGCCTCATTTTCGGGCCCCGCTCGTTCCGAATCGTGCTCCCGCTGCAGCGCTGGCCTCATTTCCGTGCTTCCGCTCGTTCCGAATCGTGCTCCCGCTGCAGCGCTGGCCTCATTTCCGCGCTTCCGCTCGTTTCGACTCGTGCTCCCGCTGCAGCGCTGGCGTCATTTCCCGTGCCATGCCACGGCATGCAATGCAATGCTAGGTTGATACTACGCTTTGCGGTGCTCTTCTACGCCATGCCATGCCGTGCTCTACAATGCATCGCGTACCCTTTCGGGATCATTGCCCTGCTCGACATCCGACTGTGCGAGTAGAGAGGGGATCTACGCCATGGTAAGGGATGGGAGGGAGGGGTAGGATGTCAGATATGACGCGAGCGCACCTAGCTTGCCCTCTCCCCCCTCTCCCTCTCCCCCCCTCCCCCTCATCCCTCCCGTAGCGCCTTGCACGACGTACAAGGTATCGAGCTGCCTGCGGCAAGTCCCCGACTGTGCCGGGCGAGCCTGCTCGGTGGCAGTTGCTCTAATCCATGAGGATGGTTTTTGGCGATGGATGGTGATGAACATGGTGTTGGCGATGATGATGATGCTGCTGCTGCTGATGATGATGATGCTGCATCTGCTGCTGCTGATGATGATGATGATTCTGAGTATTATTGATGATGATGATGGTGGTGATGATGATGATGGTGATGATGCTGTTGATGATGATGATGCTGATGATGCTCATGATGCTGATGATGCTGATGATGCTGATGATGCTGATGATGATGCTGATGATGATGATGCTGATGATGATGCTGATGATGATGGTGATGGTGATGGTGATGGTGATGGTGATGGTGATGATGATGATGATGATGATGATGATGATGATGATGATGATGATAGTGATGGTGATGGTGATGGTGATGGTGATGGTGATGATGATGCTGATGATGATGATGATGATGCTGCTGCTGCTGATGCTGCTGATGCGGATGCTGATGATGATTACGATGATGGCAATGACGATGACGATGGGAAGATCAGGAGGAGGAGAGGATGGGGAGGATCGTGGTGACCAGGGGGATGCATATCATATCATGATGATGGTGGTGGTGATGCTGATAAGGACGATGCTGAGGACGAGGATGGTGGTGATGATGATTATGAGGAGGAGTAGGCGGAAGAAGAGGCAGGTTCAGTGTTGTGGGCCAGTAGCCATCGAGATGGCCGTAAAGAAGGGGAAGGCGCCCGCGAAACGAAAGGCCACAGCAGCCTCCAGCAGCACCGCGGTGGAGGAGGACGCAGAGACCGAGGGCGGCCCAGCTGCGACTCGGAGGCCACACGTAGTGAACGAGAAGGCTGGACTGGCCAAGCCCATCAAGCAGTTGAAGGCACATTTGCGTGCCTCCCTCGTCGGGCAGTTGGAGGTATGGCATCTCGTTGCAAGACATGGCGGAATACTGCGGGCAAGCGAGGCTGAGAGGGCACTGTCACGAGACACAAGCATTACGTATTGCTGCGGGTGCGACGACGGGGAGGGGAAGCCTGAAGCAGACTGGAATCGAGTGGGCCACAGTGCTCTTGCAAACTTGGAACACTTAGAACGATGCATAGCTGCAGCGGGTGTCGCCGGGTAGGCTTTGCAGAGGAAGGACGTGTCGAGGGTGTTGCGGAGACCTGGTGAGACAGTAAAACAGCTCCGCAATATCCGGCTGAAAAGAAAGCGGAGGCAGTTGGTTTTGTTAAGGCGAAGTCTATCCAATCGTGGAAGGACAGCGTCGCGAAGGCAGCGCGAGCTTTGCGAAAGGGACACCTTTGTACAAAAAGGCAAAGGAGTTCCATGACGCAGCGTTCGGGGTTCCAGTACCAGTTATTTCCGACCCCCACAATTCCTTCATACTTGTAGGAGTCGCTGTCACAATTTTCCCAACTTGCAGTTCTTTCCCAAGCGTGGGACAATAATTGCAGATTCCTTCCGAAAGCACAAATCTTTCAAACATCAGGAATCCCCATGCAGTTTCTTTCCAACGTGAGCCCAGCGCGAGCCCGATCAGGCGGCAGCCTTCCAAGCAAGAGGCCAAAGAAGGAATGACGCAAGAAAGTCAACAACTATGTCATGTTGCGCATTGCTTGGTATGGCTAGGCATTGTTTGGCACTGCTTTGCGTTGATGTGCGTTGCTTTGCATCGCATGGCATTTCATGAAATGGTTTGTCGTTGCCTGGCATTGCTGGGCATTGCGTGACATTGTTTGGCCTTGCTTGGCATTTCGTGGTACTGGTTGGAATTGTTGGGCATTGCTGGTAATTGTTTGGAATTGCTTGGTATTGCTTGGCATGGCTTTTCCTTGTGGTATTGCTTTGCGTGTCTGGCCTTGCTTTGCACTGCTTTGCATTGCATTGATTTGCCCTGCGTGGCATTGCTTTGCCTTGCTTGGCATGTCTTGGTATTGGCTTGCATCACTTGGCATTGCTTGGTATTGCTTGGCATTGCTTGGCATTACTTGGCGTTCCTTGGCGTTCCTTGGCATTGCTTGGCATTTATTTGCGCTGCTAGGCATTTCTGGATATTGCTCTGCCTTTCCTGGAATTGCTTGTCATTGCTTTGCACTGCTTGGCATTGCTTATTGCTTCGCCTCGATTGGCATTGTCTGGGATTGGGTTGTTCAGAATTTCTCTTCATTTTTTGCCATGGCAGGGTATTGTTTTGATTCTTTTCCAGTGCTTGGCGTTGCTGGGCGTTGCTTGGCCTTGCTTGGCGTTGCTGGGCATTGCTTTACCTTGCTTGGCATTGCTGTGCCTTGCTTGGTATTGCTGGGCCGGTGGAAAGGGAGCAAGTAACCCAGACCAAGCTATTTCAATCCGTTCGGCTTCCAAGAGGAGCCGCCGATGCACGTGTACGGCTGCTTGCGGACGCAGGGGGTGATCTACGAGCTGGAGGTGCCCCCTCCGGCCACGTGTCGTTGGCTACAGGAAGGGCGGCAAAGGATGAGAAGGAGGAGGAGGAGAAGGAGGAGGAGGAGGAACATAAGGAGGAGGAGGACGAGGAGGAAGAGGAGGAGGAGGAGGAGGAGGAGGAGGAGGAGGAGGAGGAGGAGGAGGAGGAGGAGGAGGAGGAGGGGGGGAGCAGCATTCCTTGTTGCTTGGATGTCCTCGGCGGTCCATTTCGGACCTGTTGAGGCCTCCGGAGACCCCTAGGGATCCGCGGAGACCCCCAGAGACCTCCGGAGTCCTCAAGGAGGAGGGCGGTGGAGGAAGAGAGGCGGCGGCGGAGGCGTGGTAGGAGTGAATTGGGGAAGGAAGGTGGTGTCCGAGCCCATAGACGGCCGCCTCCCCGCCAGAATATCAGTGCTTTGGGTTCAGGGAAGTGCAAACATGGATTCAGGCGCGTGGAGAAGCGACGGGTCCCGACTCCGTACAATATCGGCCCGCCCCGTCGCCAAATCAGACGGCATTGGCCTCAAAGGTATTTTCCGCAGATCCGTGGGTCCAGCGCCCATTCGCCAGATCCATGGATCCGTAATCTATGTGAGCGTGTGCCTGGCTCGGGGCCATCAGAATTGCGCTGCGCTGGGTGCACGCGTGAAGCAGAAAGGGGCAGGGGAGGAGGAGGCGGAGGAGGGGGGCGAGGGCTTTCCCTCCACTGGTGCAGACGCGACTGCTGCCGTCGGTGTGCGCAGCTTCGGACCTGTGCAGCCGCGTGCGTCGTCTTACGTTCCATCCGGCAGCCTGCGGTAGCTCTCGCCGCCGTGCCAGCGCAGCTGCGCAGCAGGGAGGAGGGAAGGAACGAGGTCGAGTCTAAGACCCGCTCCAGCTCAGTGCCCTGTTTGAGCTTGCGTGGGTCTTGAATGCCCCCCTCCCAGTCCTCAGCCTCTGTTCGCTCTTCCTTCCTCATTCGTCCTCGCTTCCCTCTTGAAGGCACCTTGGAGGCGTCTCGGGGGCTCCATTGGGCCTCGTGAGGCCTCCTGGGCCTTCTCGAGGGCCTCCTGTGGGGTCGTCGGGGGCCCGTCAGGTCCACAGAGCTCCCCGGAATAAGCTCGATTTAGCCAGATTTGGTTATCAGGGGAAGTATTGGGGCCGTTTTGGAGCCCTCCTAGGCTTTCAAAATGTTGTCGTGCAGAATTGGTGATGCCTTGGGGAGTTTTTGGAACATCTTGGGCCGTTTTGGGTGCTTCTCTCAAGAGTCTTCCCTGAGGCGATCTGAAGCCGAAGCGCTTCAGAAGCAGAGGACATTACTCTTCCTTGGTTCTTTCCTTTGAGGGCCTTGCTAGAGGCCTCTTCGTGCGTCGCCTGGAGGCATCTTGGAGCCTCTTGGGGTATCTTGGCATGATCTTGGAGTTCTTTGAGGCTCGTCGGGGGGTCTTTGGGTGATCATGCGGCGTCTTGCAGCCGTGTTGGGGCAGTCTTTGGCTGTCATAGGGGACAGTGCGCTCTTGGGGCCGCCTTGGGCCGTTTTGGAGCCTTTACGAAGGGATCTGACGCTGAAAGGTACCAGAAGCATACCACATAGCGTCTTCGTAGGTTTTTCAATGCTTTTCGCCTCCGAGAGCCCCGCTAACGGCCCTTTTGGGCCTCTCCTGGAGGCTTCTTGGGATCTCTTGTGGCATCTTGGAGGGGCCTTGTAGCCTTTGGGACCTCAATGGGCCGTCTTCGGATGATCGCGTTGTGTGTGTGTGTGTGTGTGTGTTGTAGCCGTTTTGGGATGGACGGTCTTAGGCTTTCTTGGAGCCATCTGGAGGCCGAAAGAGGCGCCAAACATGCACATTAGGGGGGGGGGGGGGGGTCAGAGCACGGTTGGGGCGAATGGTATGTGTGTGTGTGTGTGCCCTGGATGCGTTGCAGAACCCCCACCAGACAGCAGAGGATAATTGCAACACGCCGCAGCGTGCACACGGTACGCTGGCGGGTACACTCGGACGTCGCTTGGCCAGTCCGTTGCGTGAACGTTGCGCCGTGGCATGGGCCCCAAGACCACGCAGATGTTGATAATGACGTGTGTCTCCAGCTGGCCTCTCCTCCTGCACACGTCTAGTTCGCATCCCGATGCGTCCCGCAAGACGCCCACCCAGCCCGTTTTGATCGCCGTCGGATCCCGCCGACAAAACGCTGTGTCTCCAGAGCGAGAGCGCGATGCCACGCTGGCGCCGAGCTGCGAGGCGAGGCCGCCCTGCGCAAGCCGTTGACCTGAGTGTCGATCACGGCGCTGCTAGATGTGGCACTGAGCCGCACCTTGCTGGCTGCGCTGGGCTCGTGTTTCACCTCAGCCTGGTTTTCGGGATGGCACCTGGTGCTGTGCGTGCGACGCGGTAATCAAAAGCAGCAATAGTGCAGCTGAGTTGTACAGCTTCGGCAGCCGGAGTGGCAAGCCTTGTCAGTAGGCTGCAACGGTGCTCGCCTTCACAATGCTGTCGCCTGTTGCTTTCGAGCACCTCTCCGGCTGTGCACTGAGCCCATCCCAGGAACGAGACGCGTGCTGGTTCACAGCGTCGCGCAGACCACCAAGTCAAGGCTTGGAACAAATAAGTGCGCATCGCCCAGTGGTGATTACACTTGAGATCACAGCATGGCGACATATAGGTGCGCACTGTCCATACATAAAAAACGCAAGGCCAGTGTTTGCACATGCGCATGGGCGCATTGTCCATTCAATCGAAACAGCAAGTCCAGCAGTTCGAAGACCAACTCGCAGGCATGCGCTTTGTCAGCGCAGTCGAAAAGGCGGGAACAATGCTTAGGCAGTCATGCCATCGCAATGCCCATCCAGCCGAACATGCAACATCCAGTCGCAATACAAAAGCTGGCAAACGATACTTCGCGTTGTCCGTTCGAGCGCGGCCACTACAACAGACGCAGGAGGCGCGCAGCTGCTCGTGCCCCACCCGAGCAAGCATGTTATCGAAACAACTTGGCGTTGGTGCCAAGATTCACCACCTGCCAAACCACCCCAACCCAACCCGAAGGCCTCAGTTTGCCCTCCATTTCCATGGGGGGGGGGCCGGGGAACATTGAAAAAACACAGATGGAACCCTTACCCCCCCCAACCCGAAATTCGGGTCTTCGGGTCGGGTTGGGGTGGTCTGGCAGATAGTCAAATATTCGACTCTGGCCCTGGTGCCAGCAGGCGTCTCCAGGTCTGCGCGCCGGCCACTCCAAGGCGAGCACGGGAGAGCCGCGCGCCTGAACATGCTCGGGTGCGCTCTGCCTGCCCAGGATGCAGAGATGCAGCACGACGAAGTTTACGAACCCGCACGTGCGGGACATTCCACCTCATCAAAGCATTGATTGTGTCTCTGTCACCAACCGAGCTTTTGCATTCAGTCCTGGTGGTCGGCGTTGGTGCTCATGGCAGAAAGTTGCGTCACGGTAGCGACGCACCGGTGAGCGTAATGGGTATCGCAGGACACGGGGACTTGACACGCCGCTGCTCAAGGCGGATCCGCCAGTTCACTCACGCTGTATCTCCTGTTTTTTTCGATCGGGACGTTCTCGGTCCTTCAAATCTGGTGCACCCGCTGCAGCGTTGGCCCCATGTCATGATTGGTGCTTTGCTTCCGTCGTCCGGAATGGGATTCGCCGCAGGCTCCCAGGCGCTCCCAAGCGCTGCCAAGCGCTCCCAGGCGCTCCCAAGCGCTCCCAGGCGTTCCCAAGCGCTCCTAAGCGCTTTCAAGCGCTCCCAAGCGTTCCCAAGCCCCTCCAAGCGTCCCAAAGTGCTCCCAGGCGGCCCCAAGCGGTTCCAGGCGCTCCCAAGCGCTCCCAGGCGCTCCTGGGCGCCCCCAGGCACTGCCAAGCGCTCGGCGCTCCCAGGCGCTCCCAGGCGCTCCCAGGCGCTCCTGCGCCATATTTCGTCGTTGCAGTTCTCCTTCTTTCCTCTCCTCTACCCTCTTCTGGTCCTCTTGCTCTTCTTGGTCCTGCTGGTGCTGCTGCTACTCCTTCTTCCTTCTCCTTCCTCGTCCTGCTCTTCCTCCAGCTCATCCGCGGCTGTATAGCCGCTTTCTTATTGCGCATCACACGATGGCTGTGTTTTCTTGGGGCAAGGTCCTCTAGTAAACCAACCCTGGCTTGCGGACAGAACACAAACCCGTGCAGTGGGAAGGGATGGGCGGGAAGGGTGTCAGATGCGGTGCGGTTGCACCTGGCTTGTCCCCCTCCCCTCCTCCCCTCTCCTCCCTTCTGCCCCCTCCATCAAGACCGATCCCTCCTGCTCCCCCCTCCTCCCCTCCTCTCCTCCTCCTCCTCCTCCTCTTCCTCCTTCTCCTCCTCCTCCTCCTCTCCACCCTCCCGCCGCCTCCTCCCTCGAGACCGATCCCCCCTGCCTCCTCGAGGCCCCCCTACCCCGCCACCCCTCCGCAAGCCGGCGGCGTGCGCGCGCGCGCGCCCATTCGCCAGAGGAGCAGGAGACCACCATCGGGCGCGGCGAGGAGTGCGACCTCGTGCTCGAGGAGACCACTGGGGAGGGGGAGGAGGAGGAGGAAGGAGGAGGAGGAGGAGGAGGAAGGAGGAGGAGGAGGAGGAGGAGGAGGAGGAGGAGGAGGAGGAGGAGGAGGAGGAGGAGGAGGAGGAGGAGGAGGAGGAGGAGGAGGAGGAGGAGGATGAGGCGGAGGAGGGGGAGGGAGGAGGCGCAGGAGGAGGGGAGGAGGAGGAGGAGGAGGAGGAGGAGGAGGAGGAGGAGGAGGAGGAGGAGGAGGAGGAGGAGGAGGAGGAGGAGGAAAAACCATGATGAAGGAGGAGGAACTTTTTTTCTTTGGCGGCAGCGGGCGTTCCTGGGACGGGGCCAGGGGGTGCCTGGGGCCAGCAACGTCACGATTTGCTGTGGCGCCGTTTAGGATGTCGCGCCCCCCACCCCTTTCCAGACAGGGCTGGCTCGAGTCGTGACGCCACCAGGGTGGCAAGAGGAGGGGCGGCCCTTGAAACAGTTCGAGAGAAGAGTAGGGAGGACATGAGGGAGAAGAGAGGAGGAATGAGCAGGGAGTCAAGCTTGGTGGTCACCAGGAGAAGGTCGCCCCCTTCGTCGTCGCCGTCGCGACCGCCGCCAGCTGTCCTCGCCGTCGTCGCCATCGCCGCCGCCGCCGTCCTTGGTCTATATCGCCGCTGGCGTCTTCGCCGCCGCCGCTGCCGTCGTCCGTCGTCCGTCGTCGTTGTCGTCGTCGTCGTCGTCGTCGTCGTCGTCGTCGTCGTCGTCGTCATCGTCGTCGTCATCGTCGTCGGCGGCGGCGGCGTCGTCGTCGTCGTCGTCGTCGTCGACGTCGTCGGCGTAGTCTCTGCCGTCTCCACAGCAGCTGCCGCCGCCGCCGCTGTGGATGTCCGCCGCGGGCCAGGGCCACGGCATCTCGCGCCTGCACGCGCGGCTGTCGTTCCTGCCCCGGGGCGCGGCCGGCGGCGCCGCGGCGCAGCTGACCGACGCGGGGTCCCGCGCGCGCTCGCAGCGCGCGCGCGCGGGCGCGACCGCCGCGCGCAGGTGTGCAGCCCGCTGAGCCTGTCGCCGCCTTTCGGAGGCTCGCCGAGGGGTCTTCGGGCGGCTGCGGGGCGATTCCGGGCAGGTCTCTCGCACTCGAGGCGGAAAGAGAACGGCAGGCACGCAGACTTTCGGAGCTCCGCGCGGGCTTCTCGGATCTGCGTCGGGCCCCGCTGGCGGCGCATCCTTCCTTGCGCTACATGGGGCTCTCGGTCTGCGCGGGTCCGTAGGCCTCCGGAGGGCTCGGAGGCGCCTTCGGGCTCCGTGGGTGCTCCTGGCGCTTCTGCAGGCTTCGGGACCCTCGTCGGGTTTTTCGGAGGCTCAAGTGTGGCTTCTCTTCTGTAGGAGAGTGACGTGCCCTGGTGTTCTGGGAAGATCTGGACACATGCGAGGCGAGGCCTTCGGACTCTTTCGTTGGTTCCGGGTTGTTTTCCAGGCTTGCCGAGTGGCGACTGCCCTAGTACCTAGTTCCTAGTTCCTGGTTCCGTTCCCAGTTCATGGTTCCCAGTTCCTGGTTCTTAGTTTCTGGTTCCTAGTTCCTAGCTCCTGGTTTCTGGTTCCTAGTTTCTTAGCTAGCTACTAGTCTCTAGTTCCTACTGGTCACCCCCATCGCTGTGACCTGCCCCTTGGTGGCGCCGCCAAGGCTTGCGGCTCTGCCCATCCGCCAGACCCCGCGATCCATGCGAGGGGCGTGTCGAAGTGGGCCTTGGAGGTTAGGCTGGCGGGGCGGGGGGCGGATGATCGCAGCCCCCCTTCCCGCTGGAACTTCAGTCTACCTCGGCAGCCGCGCCCGTCGCGGCGGGGAACGCTTGCCGCGGCAGGAGGGGGTGCGGCGGTGTTCGTGATAGTCCGCCCTGCCCGTTCAACGAGATCTCCCATACGGTGGGGGCATTCGTTGAGGAACGTGCCCAGGAAGCTTCAGGCCCTGGAGGGTTCCTTCTTTAATGAGGGCGGCGGTGATGTCCATGGCCAATCCACGATTGGCTTTCCACTGGCTTCCAGACCCTGGATTTCTCATCGAAGGTTTCCTTATCCAATGCCATCACCGTATCAGACGCCTGCCCATCTGCCAGACCCGCGCAAGGCCGCGTATCGACGCCGCGGCCCCACGACGCTACAACATCTTTGTCAGGCTTTCGCCCCCTCCGTCTTCGCCCCGCGCGGCGACGCCGCGACGCCGAGACGCCGCGACGTCGCGGCCCACGCAAAACGTATGACGTTGACTACAGCAGCCAACAGAGTGCGCAAAGGTCGCGCGAGCCACATTTTGGAACACCGCAAATATGTAACACATTGCGCGATTGATTTTGATAAGACAAATGAATTCGAATTTTAGTTTTGGTAAGAAAACAGCATCGGTTTCTTTATTGCATATGTCGACGACAGTCACATTCTATTTTCAAAGCATCTCGCGAGTCTGCTACTTTCCTTGATTTGCCACGCAATGGAAACAGGAACTCCAAACAATGATGTACCCCTGGGAGTTGTTTTGCCAAAAGAGGAACGTAACGGAGGACCAGGGGGTGGATGTGACGGCATGGGCCATGGCACCTCCCGGATCTCGTGGCCCCCTCCTCTTCTTTCGGTGCGTCTCCTGGCGCCCCTGGGCCACGCATGTGCCTCCGGCCGTGGCCTGCGCCCCCCTCCCCCCCCTTTGGGCTGGCCCCCCTCCTCGACGCCCTCGATTCAAGAGGGAAAAACACACACAGACACAATTAATCGTCGATTCCCCAGAAAGTATGGGAAAAGATGGGAAGTGGGGGGGAAGACGAACACCCCAGAAAAGATGGGGGAGATTATGGGGGATCCTGTTATATTTGTGTGTATTTGTTTGTGTGTCCCAGGGCCCCTTCAGTGTAAGCATAGCCGAAGAGGAGGCGCCCTTCATCGATGACCCGCCGCGCGTCGCGCGCGCGCCGCGGTGGCAGCGGCGCGTTCCTGGCGGACATCCCGGACCCCACGCCCCCCGGCGGGCCTCCCTGGGACCGAGCCGCGCCCTGCGCGCGCCCAGCGCCGCTGGGCGCGGGGGCGCCGGGCTCGCTCCGGAGCCCGACCCTTTCCGGAGGGGGGGGGAGGAGGAGGAGGAGGAGAGGGAGGAGGAGGAGGAGGAGGAGGAGGAGGAGGGGGAGGAGGAGGAGTGATGAGCCAGTGGGCCCCGAAGAGCTTCCTGCTCCGGGGGCGCTCTTGCCGTCCCGAGGCCGTCCCTATACCCTTGGCTCCTGCTCCCTGTCTGGGCCTGGGCCCAGACATCCGACGCAGTGTTTTTTTTGTTTTTTTGTTTTTTTGTTTTTGTTGTTTTTGTTTTTTGTTTCTTTTTTCGGTGCGGGGTCCCCAGAAGTCCCGACCCCTTCTCCAGGGCTGGTGTTTCGTCCCGAGCCGTCTTCTGACGGTCCCGGGGCCTGGCGAGGGCCCTCGGAGGCCGCAAGCGGCCAAAAACCCGCTTTCGTGACTTCTCTCGTGGCGTGGGCATGTCTGTGGAGGAAGAGTCTCTCAGCGCCGTCGCCGCCCTCCCCTCAGGGAGCCCCCCCTCGGAGGGGCCGCGAGCGCGGGCGCCTCGGCGAGGTCCAGCAACGGCACCTTCGTGAACTCGGTGAGGCTCACCCCGCACCAGCCCCACGACCTCCACCACGGCGGGCGCGGGATTCAGGGGCAACGCTAAGTAGGGATATGTTCAGAGACGGCGCCTCGGGTGACGGCGACAGCGACACTGGCGGTGGCCGACGCGTCCAAGCCTGGTGGCGTGCAAAGCCAGACTGCGAGGAGTTCGTCCGGGGAGGAAGGAGGAGGGCACTGGGGCCACTCCGGGCCGGGGCCACCCGTGGCAAACACACCCCGCCCTGGAACGGGGAAGGGCGACGGCGGGGCCGACTCGCTGCGCCTTTCGGCGCACGTGGAGGCGGCGTTGGGAGGAGAGGGGCCCCTGGCTCTTCTCGTTGCGAGCAACTTTGTGGCGCATTGCTGGCTTCCACGGGGCTCTTTGCAGTCACGACGCTGAAACAAACACTGCTCCTGGGCTTCGGGAAGGGCTCTGGTTTTCTGGCCGTTCCTTGCAGCCAGGTCGGGGGTCCTCTTCGTGTCCCTTCGTTCCTTATTGGCTGTCTTCATGGCAGCACGATGATTTTACCGGGCCCCCGGACCGTCAACATATCGGTCGAGATGAAGAATAGTCGCAGGGAGAGGGTCCACACGTCTTGGGGGGCCAGGTTTCGAACAAAGACAGGACGCCGAAGGCCTGGGGGAAGGGCCCAGACATCTGACGTTTTGTTTTTCCCAACCATCCTGTGGTGTTGGGTCCTCGTTTTGAAGAGACGGTCCCCGCGTTCTTCTTCTCCTCTTCTCCTCTCCTCCTCCCCCTCCTCCCCTCCCTCCTCCTTCTTCCATGCGTTTCACCTACCCAGCACAGCGTTTCGCGGCCCCATAGGGAGCTCCACCGAAGCCCTCAGTGGGACCGCCCGCATGCGTCCGCCACCACCCAGCACAGCCCTTGCTCCCTGCGTTTCGCCTACACAGTACATGGTTTCGTGGCCCCATAGGGAACCCCACGGAAGGTCCCAGTGGCACCGCCCGCATGCGTCCGCCACCACCCAACACGGCCCTTGCTCCTTGCGTTTCACCCACCCAGTACAGGGTTTCGTGGCGCCATGGGGAGCTCCACCGAAGGTCCCAGTGGCACCGCCCGCATGCGTCCGCCACCAACCAGCACAGCCCTTGCTCCCTGCGTTTCACCCACCCAGTACAACTTTCGTGGCCCCATAAAAAGGGGCTCCACCGAAGGTCCCAGTGGCACCGCCCGCATGCGTCCGCCACCACCCAATACAGCCATTGCCCATTTTCGTTGCACCCGCCCAATGCAGGGTTTCGTGGCCCCATAGGGGGCTCCACCGAAGGTCCCAGTGGCACCGCCCGCATGCGTCCGCCACCAACCAGCACAGCCCCTGCTCCTTGCGTTTCACCCACCCAGTACAGGGTTTCGTGGCCCCATAAAGGGGGCTCCGCCGAAGCCCCCAGTGGGACCGACCGCGTGCGTTAGCCACCACCCAGCACACCACCTGCGTTTCACCCACCCAGTACAGCGCTTCGTGGGCCCAGAAAGGGGCTCCACCGAAGGTCCCAGTGGCACCGCCCGCATGCGTCCGCCACCACCCAGCACAGCCCTTGCTCCCTGCGTTTCACCCACCCAGTACAACTTTCGTGACCCCATAAAAAGGGGCTCCACTGAAGGTCCCAGTGGCGCCGCCCGCATGCGTTCGCCACCAACCAGCACAGCCCTTGCTCCCTGCGTTTCACCCACCCAGTGCAGGGTTCGTGGCCCCATAAAGGGGGCTCCACCGAAGGTCCCAGTGGCACCGCCCGCATGCGTCCGCCACCACCCAACACAGTCCATGCTCCTTGCGTTTCACCCACCCAGTACAGCGTTTCGTGGCCCATAGGGGGCTCCACCGAAACTCCCAGTGGCACCGCCCGCATGCGTCCGCCACCACCCAACGCGGCCCTTGCTCCTTGCGTTTCACCCACCCAGTACAGGGTTTCGTGGCCCCACATGGAGCGCCACCGAAGAAAATATTCACAATTGCGGTATTCACACCTGCATATGGTTGGGTCTTTCGCCAGGCTAATTTCGATGCGTGGCCCCCCAGACTCTTCGACCCTTCCTCAGGGCACTGGGGCCACCCTGGGCCCGGGCCGCGCGTGGCAAGCACGCTCTGGAACGGGGATCGGTTGCGCGCCAAAGTGGCTCTTCCGCTGGGGTGACGTTTGGTGCGGGCACATGGGGGTCCTTAGATGGCTGAAGGAGACGCGATGACGGCGGCTTGCGCGCTCGGAAATCCCCCCTTCCCCCCCCCCTCACCCCCTCACCCCGTCCCGCCCCAAAGCCGCGCACCAAAGGTCACTCTTGCATAGGGTCACTCCTGCGTGCCGAGGGGGTCAGGGCGGCGGGGCCGACTCGCCGCGCTTCTCGGCGCAGTGGAGGGCGGCGGCAGAGGGAGGGGCCCAGCACTCCACTCGTCGCGAACAGGGTTTCTGACACATGGTCGGCCTCCTGGGCGGCGGCGGACCCAGACCCCTGACGCCATGACCTTAGTTGCCTCGATACGCCCGTTCTCGTACGCAACACGCACCGTGCTCAAAACCTCGTTGTCAGCACGTTGCGCGTTGGCCCAGCGTATTCGCCCACGTTTTGGCGAACGTATCGCGTCAGACCTACGCTTGGCAGCCTACGTGTCGAGTTCCGTATCAGTTCGGTATGTTCTGCGTGTTACGTAGCGGGGCAAGTAAGGCCATGATGAGTCACGACGTGGGCCTTCAGTTCAGAGGCCTGGACCCCCGAGCGGGCACCGGATCTTTTCCTCTCCGGAGCCGTGCGCTAACGGCCTTTTGGGACCCACCAGGGGCCCCCTGTCGTCGTGCCCATTTTCAGGGGGTGGCTGGCCCAGGGCTTCGGGCTTGGGGCTTGTCGGTCTTTCGGGGGGGAAAAAGTACCCCTACCGCTGTCCTTCGCCCGTTTTTCCCTTCCTCGTTTTCCTGGGAGGCCCTCGCCGCCACCGCTGGATTCGCTCCGAGAGTGTGGTCAGAATGCAGGAGCGGTCCGGGCAGTGGCGGTATCGGTGCCTTTGGATGTCCCCAGTCTTGGTGTTGGGGGGTCGTCTTCGCCGTGTGGGGTTCCCTGCTTCGGGTCTGGTGCCTCACGTGGGGGTCAAGCTCTCTGAAGAAGCCGCCTCCGGGGCTTGCACACCCGTCGGCCGGGGATCGCACCCGTCGGCCTGGGGTCGACCTTCTCTCGGGTCCGCGGAGGCGACTCGCTGCGCTTCTCCGCGCACGAGAAAGCGCTGTACGTGCTCGAGCTCCCCGGCGGCGGCCACCAGGCGCAGGGGCGGCCGTGCGCCGCCGCCGCCGCGGCCCTTCTCGGCCGGGCAGCGGCGGCAGTGCGGCCGGCGGCGGCCGTGCGCTGCCACGGCGGCGGCGATGGCGACGACCACCTGCTCCTCACACCCCTTGGCATTCAACCCTGAGATCCGGGCGTTTTCGCCCAGTTTCGGGCCCAGACCCTCACAGATCGATGCGGCTCGAAGACTTGCGCAGAAAGACGGGGCTCAGGGCTCTGGCCGTGCTTTTTCACAGTGGTGTTTTTTTGCGCGACGTCGGATCTCAGGGAAGGAAGCAGGAAGCGCGAACATGGGTTAGGGCGCGTGGATTCGCGACGGGTCCCGTTTCCATGCAGCAGCGACGCCATCAGGCATTGGCTTCATAGATCCACTGACCCGTAATCCATTTTACGTAGCTGTTAAGCGTGTACCCGACTCATGACGCTGGCGCTGCGGGCAGGTCCAGGTCGAAGCCCCGGCGCCTTCGCACCCTCCTCGTCGCCCCCCAATCCTTCCGCCCCCTCCTCCCCAATCCTTCTCCTTTGTCGTCCTCCCCCTCCCACTTCCTCCACGCATGACTGCTGGCCTGCAATGTCTGCCCGCCTGCGCGCAACTTTCTCGGAACATATCATCCTCGCAGCATTTAGCAAGACGTGGCCTCCGTGCCGATCGTGTGTATCGAGTCATATCTTATCATGCCCAGTCCGCACAGTTCTTTTTTTGATATGGGTCGCAACTAGGTAGCCTCAGCAAATAGTGGTCTTGCACTCGCTGATGGACGCATACTTCTCACGGACATCCCGTATTTGAAAGGTGATTGGTTGTCAGTAGTGTTGTGGAAGTCGATTAATGGAGAGGAAGCATGCTGCCAAATAATTTCCAGATGTCTAGAAGATGCTTCAAATATGTTTCAAATATTCTAAAGCATGTTTGACACATTTTTAGAACATGTTTTACATATTTCAAACATACCTTTAATTCGCTGATAGGATTGTTAGAGTGTCCATTGTCGTGGCATCCACAACAGTAGTGGCACATGATCCAGAAGCGCGTAGAGTGGCCAGATCCACGGAACTGTGTCCGTTGACCCAGTTGACTTTGCCGTTCGCAGGTTCCCCAGGGACGGGGAGGACTGCGCGATGCTGCGGGTGCGTAGACGAGTAAGCTGGTCTTTGGCACGTAGTTATTTCGGTGCTGTCTGACTGGGAAGGCACTCCGGTTTGCTACAGGGCTCTGCGTCGTGCCAAGGGCGGCGCCGACACCAGAGAAGCCTCATGGCTTATGGTGTCCCAACCTACTTTTAGCCTTGACCACCAGGAAGAATTTTGAGCACCAGGAACGTACCGAAACGCGAGGGTTTTCACGTGTCGGGCCCTGGGAGACATTCGTCCGACACCGTTTCGACATTGTTTCGACACTCTTCCAGGTGCTCGAAATAACTCCTGGGATGTGGTCCTTAAGTACGATGGGAGCAACATAACTCATGGCAGCAAGCTGCCGAGCACGAGTCGTTTGGTGAGCAGACTTCCGTGCACGTGAAAGGGAATGCATCCATGACCGACGCGAGGGAAGACAGGGCAGCAGAGTTTCAGAAGACAGGGAGCGAAGACGCCGACAGACAACTTTGCCAGGAGTGAAGAGTTGGGCGGCGGCAAGCCCTGAGCCTCACGCTGATCTTGCGCGTGCCTGCCGAACAGGCATTGCACGTTTGCTACATTATCTCGCGACTTTCAAAGCGTGGCGGTATGGCAGTAGTCCACTTGGCCTGGACTACCACTTACCTGAATAATGAGGGGGAGCAAGCTGCGGCAGCGTCGGCGGCGCCAGAGTCGCAACAGCACTCTGACGATGCTAGTCTTTTTTGGCTTCGTGGTAAGTCGCCAATCGTTCGCTGCTGGAGTGCGCAGTCATGGAGTCAGAGCATGTCTTAGCTTACTGTACGACGTGGTGCCAGTACTTTAGTTCAGAATCCAAGAACCATCGCGGCCTCAGTCTGACATGCTCTGGGTGGGGCCAAACACTCGGCAGTTTCACAATCTTTGGCATCCTCCAATCCCTCGCACGCCGTGCAGCCTCGAGACAGCTGTTGTGCAGGGTCAATGAGTGGAAAGACAGAAATGGTGGCTCAAAGATGGCGGCGAATCCACATATTGGCGGACGAGATCGACGGACACCGCCCACACTTTGAGAGCCTACGGTCTGGAGTAGAATGAAACGTTAGCCCTGGGTAGTTTAAGTGACAGCCCAGACGACGGGCAGAGCGAGGACACGGTCGATCACTTCTGAGGCATCGCACTCATACTCCATATGTATCCACGCTCTGGAGGCAAACGGGTGCGGCCTAGGCGACGCCCCTGAGAAGGCCCATGATGGGCTGCAAGGGAACAAAACTGTGGCCAAACCAAGCCGCATGAGACAGAGTGCGGTCTTGCCTGCTCCATGTACGTCCGATCTGGACAGGAGAGGGTGCGGCCTGGGTAAGCCCCTGCGAAGGCCCTCTTCCGGGCTGGAGGGGAGCGCGCCTGGGGTCCAACCGCGCCGCCTGTGAAGGAGTGCGGGTCTTGCCTGCTTGGGTGTGTGATCGTGGACCTACTTCCTGGGAGGACCTTCGTTCCCGGAACGCTTTGTGCGTTGCGGCCATACAGCTTCCCCAAGCGACCGCGGCTTTTTGCTGCCCTGTGCACGTTGCGTTGTTGCGCTCGGGGCCGATCCGGCTCTGGAGCCCTCATGCCGTCTGTTATGCTGTGGCCGCCCAGGTCTATCCCGACCTGGGTGGCTTCTCCCAAGCTGCCGCGGCTTTTTGTCGCGTCCTGGGCCCCCCCGGGAGACCTGCCGCTCCCGGTGGCGCGTGCTTTCCCCGCGCTGCCGCGGCTTCTCGCTAGCCGTGGGCTCCCGGGAGCCATCCAGCTCCCGAGGGCACGCGAGTTGATCTGAGCGAGTACGCTGGGGTCCCGAATTCTCGAATTTCCCCCCTCTTCTGGGCGCGCCATGCCACCCGCCTCCGCCTCTCGGAGGTCGATAGACCTCCTATCCTGACATGTCGATCAGCGAATTGGCCGTTCTCGATTCGCGAGAGGATGTCGCGGCTGTCACTCTTGCGGGCCCAGGTCCGCCGGTTTCGGTCCTAGGCCGTTTTCATTAAATGGGGGTTTACTAAACGCCGAGATCCTCAAGAGGGTGACCAAGCGCCTGAGTACCTTCCAGATCACCCAGACGTCCAGGAAGGACATGCAGTGGGTGGACGAGTTCGTGAGGTTTGTCTACCGCCGAGCTTTGGCGTGCCGCCACGGGGCCTGTGAGCCCTGCCGCCCTCCCCAGACCAGCCCCCCTCGGCCGCTCCGACCACCAGCCCCAGCTTCTTGGCCTGGCAGGCGGCCCTCCGTTGGTGGCCGCCCAGCCTTGCCAGCCTTACGTCGGGCGCGTCTCTACATTATATATAGATATGTATGAGAGGAAACATATATATATATATATATAGATAATATTTGACTCTACAGGCTTACGCCACATCCGCCGACCCCTTCTGTGAGTGTTGCGAGGCCAGGAGTTTCTGGCCAGCGGCGTCTTGTGTGAGGGTGCGGTGTCGCGCGCGGGTGGTGGCAGATACGTAGGGGGTCCAAATGTTTGCGCGATGCCGGTGGTCTGGGGCGTGTTTAAACACGCCCCAGACCACCGCAAATTTGCGAGCGCTTTGCGTGCTGTGCACCCGGGTGCGGGGTGTCCTTCTGGGAGGTCGGCCTTTCGACCCGCAACCAAGTGGAGGAGCACGGGAAGACGAAAGGAGCAAGAGTAGTGTGTGGAAGCTGTGATCAGCGAAGCATCACAGCGAAAGATGTGGCAGATGAATCGAAACGGGTGAAGAGGCTGTTGACGTTCGCAGCGCGCACGCAACAGTTCGCGCGGCAGCAGCGCATTAGCGCCGAGCAAGATAGTGAGCACGTCGCGAGGAAGAGTAAGGTTGTATGCGCGGAGTTCATTGCAGTTGGCGTGACGGCTCGCAATGCGGAAGCGTCTGGGGGTCTTCTGGGGGCCTCCTGGGGGCCTCTTGTGGGCTCCTTGGGGCGTCTTGGCGGTTTCTTGAGGGCCGTTCGCGGCCTGTTGGGGCACTCTTGGGGCCCCCTGGGGCTCGTGGGGGCGGAAAGCTAGATTTTTGAATTGTTGGTTGCCCTCTTGGGCCCCTTTTGGTGCCGTCTTGGAGCCTTCTTGGGCCGTTTTGGGGACCTCTTGGGCCGTCTTGGGGCCATATTGGACCGTCGCGGGGCCGTCTTGGGGGCCTCTTGGGCCGTCTTGGGGCGGTTTTCGGGGCTTCTTGGGCCGTCTAGGAGCGTCGGAAAACCCAGAAGGCGGATGTGTGAACATTGTACGTTTTACGACGGGAATAAGTACATTTCTGCGTCCAGAGACCGTCTTGGGACGCATCTTGGGGGCCTCTCAGGGGCGTGTTGGGCCATCTGGAGACCATTTCGGGTGTCTTCGATCGCTCTTGGACCGTGTGGGGCCATGTTGAGCTCTCTTGGAAGCCATTTGGAGCGCTCTTGGGGTCGTCTTCGGGGCTCTCTTGGGCCGTCTTCGGCGCCTCTTGAGCCGTCTTAGCGCCTTCTTGGGCTGTCTTGGGGCCCTCTTGGAGGCTTCTTGGGCCGTCTTGGGGCGGTCTTGGGGGCCTCTTGGGCCGTCTGGGAGCGTCGGAAAGCCCAAAAGGCGAATTTGTGAAAAAACGCACGCTTTACGAAGGGAGCGGGCTAATTTTTGCGTCTAGAGGCCCTCTTGGGACGCATCTTGGATGCCTCTTGGGGCCTCTTGGGGGCATCTTGGGCCGTCAGGAGGCCATCTTCGGTGTCTTTGATCGCTCTTGGGCTGTCTGGGACCATATTGAGCTCTCTTGGAGGCCACTTGGGGCGCTCCTGGAGCGCTCTTGGGGCCCTTTTCGGGGCCCTGTTGGGCCGTCTTGGACGCTTGTTGGGCCGTCTTGGGGCCCTCTTGGGCTATCTTGGGGCCCTCTT